CAACGTGGCTCCTGCACCTGTCTCCTACAACGTAGCTCCTGCACCTGTTTCCTACAACGTAGCTCCTGTGGCACCTGTAGCACCTGTTCAGTCTCAGTATCACGCTCAGGATGAGATCGGTCAGTACTCCTTCGGTTACGCCGGCGGTGCATCTTCACGCGCTGAGTCTCGCGATGCCTTCGGTGTTGTCCGTGGTTCGTACAACTACGTGGACTCTGAGGGCAAGATTCAGACTCAGCACTACGTGGCTGACGCCCTTGGCTTTCGTGCGTCCGGCACCAACCTTCCCGTGGCTCCCGACGCCCCTCTGGCCCCCTCCCCGGCCCCGTCCCCGTACCCGTCCAGGACACTGCTGAGGTAGTCGCCGCCAAGCTCGCCCATTTCCAGGCCTACAACGAAGCCGCCGCCCGCCGCCGCTGCCGCCCCAGACACCCGCAAGAAGCGTTCCATCCTTGCGGCTCCCGGTCTCGGCGTCTACTCTCCTCTCCGTTTCTCCTACGGATTCTCCACTCCCCTCCACTACGCCCACCCAACTACCTATGCTTCTCCTCTTCACTACACTGCCGCCCATCCCGCCCTCACCACCTACAACGCCGTCCACGTCCCCACCACCTACGCCGCCGCCGCCAGACCCGCCCTCCGTGACGCCGAACTCCTCCGCGGTCCACAACCCCGCCCACGCCACCTCCTACCGCGTGCTCAACTGAGTTGGAATCCAGTCACGTGAGGTGTGACGAACGCATTTGATGAGGTTTGACACCTCACTATTTGTACAAAGAGCGAATTATGTATGATCTATTAAATAAAATGATTTCACTGTCAGCATACTGTCATGAACCTAAACCTCAGTCAGCTAGTAACGTGTACGGCAATAATAATAATAATAATAATGAAAACATATTTAGTTGCCCTATCTATCTGCGTTCACACACGCACACACACACACACACACACACACACATACACACACACACACACACACACACACACACACACACACCACATATATATATATATATATATATATATAATATATATATTATATACATATTGCATACAAATGCATGTAAATGTATACACATATACACATATATAATATATATATATATATATATATAATATACATTACATATATATACATATATTATATGTATATATATATATATATATACATATTTATCTATATATGAATATATGTTTGTGTGTGTGTGTGTGCACCATATGTAATAGAACAGAAAAATATAAAATCACAGAATTACAAAAACAATGAAAACTTTTATGGAGTCACATACCTAAGTAGAACAGTTATCAATAACTATGATCTCCAGTTCCCCTTTCTATCCATACCTTTCTTTCTCTTTTCCCATCAGTGTTAAGGCACATTAACACTCCTGACATCTGCCGGGGAAATTCAACACAGGAAGACAAAGCATATTTATATGCACTCTTACATACTCGATATCATATTTCTTGACAGTATGTCCAGATAACACATGAATAGTGAATAAGGAATAGGTTATCAATAAAGCACATTTTGATACTTTCATTATATTTATTTTCACAGTGGTTTAGTCTATGTTTATGATAAGACTAGGTAATAAATACAAAATAAGTCCAGTTATGTTGTTTAAACAGGCATTCAGGCAGTCACAGAGGACTCGCCTCCCCCATTCTACAGTGGATTCCTCTTGCACACCAATAGCCTTTTTTATTTACCTACTCCATTATTATTCGAAATATATCCATGGATATATTTTGAAATAATTCTTTAAATTTATCTTTCCAGTTTTTCTTTGTCACAAAAGAAACCTTAGTAAGATTGAGAGACAACGTTTCCTTGCAAAATTATGATATTGACACCTGTTGGGGACAAAGCCTTACCTGAGCGACAAAATCGATACAGTAGCGTGTCGAACTCTCGCAAGACTAGTCAGTTTCGCTCGAGAGTTAGCGCATTTTCTCTGCCTATAAACAAGCTCTGATGACATTAATGATAAGGAAAATGGATGCGAGTCTAAATATGTTTATTATGATAGTGATAACGGTATCAATAATAATGATAAAAAGGACAGTGATGATATTGATAGTAACGGCAGTGATAATGATTACGAATTATGAAAATAATTGATAATGATAATGCTGCCAATTAATAATAATAATAATAATGATAATGAGAGTGATAATGATAATGATAATAATGATAATGATAATCATAATGAAAATAATAAGAATAATAACAATACTGATAATCATGGTGATAATCATTATCATAATAAACAACACTGATAATGATTGCATTAATAATAGTGATAATCTTAGCAATGACAATAAAATGACACTGATGATGATAATGACAGGAATGATAGTATAAATAATAATCACACTGGCAATATTTATAAAAATGAAAACACCAATAATAACAACGATAATGTTAATGCTAATGATTGGGATATTGATAATGAAGATAATTATTTCGATAAAAATGAACAAAAACGGTAATAATGATTTTGACTGTTATATTACCATTGTCATTATCATCGTTGTTAATATTACCATTTTCATTATTATCATTATCTTCATCATTATTGTTGTTATTACAAACATTACCGTTATCATCATAAGCATCACCATTATTATTGTTACCATTACTATTATCATGATATTGACTTTAATAATGATTATTATCAATATGCAAATAACAGTACAAGAATACTACTACTGATAAGGACGATGATAATAATGCTAATGATAACATCAACGGCGGTATTAATAATGATGAACACATGAAAAAGAACATGATTAACAATCATGATAATGGTAAGGATAATAAAATGATCGTAAAAATGTTGATAACTTCAGTATCAATAACAGTAATAATAGTAATAACGATAGTAGTAATGACAACGATAATACAAATAATGCTACTACTACTATAAATGAAAACAATGATCATATTAATGATAATATTATAGATAATAATAAAAAAATAAAAATAATGATAATAGTAAGAGAAATAAGAGATAATAATAATTCTAAGGATAAAAATAAGATCAATAAAGAATAATGACACCACTAATAATGGTATAATATTGACAACAATAAACAATGGCAACAATATTATTTTTAATAGTAATAGGGATAATGATGATAACAGTAATGTAATGATGGTAATGATAATAACATTGATGGCAATGATAGTTATAATAAGTGATAATGATAATTGCCCCAATAAAAAGAATGTTAATAATGATAATGATAATGATGATAATAATAATCACAAGGGTAACATTGATAACATGATTATTCATACAATTGTAGTAATGATAATATCAATAATAATATTGCTACTCTTGATAATGATGAAAATAATTATCATCCACAGTAGCTCCAGCAACACCAATATTAATAACGGTAAAAGTGATGATTTTAACAGTAACTTCAATTGTACAATATAATTATAAAATGATAGTGGTGATGATTATAATGGTATTAACAGTAGTAGTAATAATGAAATAAGTTATGCTGATAATTATGATTATAACAATAGTAATGGTAGAAATTGTAGTGCTACTATCACTCAATAATGATTCTACTATTACCACTAGTAACATGAATAATGATAATCATAGCGATGATGACGATTATCATAACATTAACAAAAGTGATAAAAATAGTAATGATTATGATAACAATAAAGATATTCTGAATAATGATGACAAATAAGTTAATTTTCAGAATTTAGGATATAATACTATAGCTATAATCAGATATTCCCTGAATCGCTTTCATTTTGTTTCACCTTTCCATTGCTTGTACATTTTCTTTGGCACCAGTCAGAAGTGGAGATATGACTTTTTCAGGATTTGAATCTGAGAAGACTATAGGAGTGTGGCAATATATGATATAGAATAACTTCTCATATTACTTTATTTGTCTATTTTTGTAAGGGGATGTGAAAACAGCCTCACCCAGGAGCCAAGGCGCTGTACGATACAAAAGATTAGACTGTAGAAAGGAAGGAAAGCCACGCCCCCTTGCCCATTTTCTGAGGTGGTCAAGATGTTCCCAAGGTATTTAAGGCGGCGTCATACCCATGGCCACCAGACAGCTCCTTGACGGTGGCCAACATGAACTCTCTGGTTAGTTTAGGAACCCCAGTTTTCGCTGAGGTTGAACGGAGTCTCTTCTCGTTTTGGTGATTTCAGTCAGGTTTAAAGATGAAATTTTCTCGGTTTCTAATTCAGTGTATTTTCATGTAATGAAAATGATGCATTTCAGACTGTGATTTCGGTGGCGGCTCTCGTGGCTAGCGGCAGCGCCTCCTTGCTTGCGTACAACGGCGTATATGGAGGCCATCACGGCCTTCTTGGCGCCTATCCTTACGCAGGGTATTCTGTGTGGTGCCCTACGCATACGCAGGTGGCCTTCCCGCAGCTGCTCCTCTCTCCCTCAAAACACCTGTAATCAAGACCTTGGCTCCTACACCTATCTCTTACAACGTAGCTCCTGCACCTGTATCCTACAACGTGGCACCTGCACCTGTTTCCTACAACGTAGTTCCCTTCGCACCTGTAGCACCTGTCCAGTCTCAGTATCACGCTCAGGATGAGATCGGTCAGTACTCCTTCGGTTACGCCGGCGGTCCTTCTTCACGCGCTGAGTCTCGCGATGCCTTCGGTGTTGTCCGTGGATCGTACAACTACGTGGACTCTGAGGGCAAGGTTCAGACTCAGCACTACGTGGCTGACGCCCTTGGCTTCCGTGCGTCCGGCACCAACCTTCCTGTGGCTCCTGACGCCCCTCTGGCCGCCCTCCCCGGCCCCGTCCCCGAACCCGTCCAGGACACTGCTGAGGTAGTCGCCGCCAAGCTCGCCCATTTCCAGGCCTACAACGAAGCCGCCGCCGCCGCCGCTGCCGCCCCAGACACCCGCTAAAGAGTGTTTTAGAAACTGCATCATATCTGTGCGTAGAGCTCTCGCCAGCAGATAACATCAAGACTCTAGTCAGTTTCGATCGAGAGTTGACGAACGTGTATGAGATACCTCTGAATAAAAGTTTCTGTAAGATTTACTTCCTTCTACATTTCTATACCCAATAATTTCATACCCTTTTTTAATCATGTTCCTAAAGAGGACAATGTTATGCCCATTATTATTTTTTATCAACCTATTTTAATGCAAGTAAAATCGGGTGTAGTTTGCTCTCCATTTTACACATCAATATATTAACACAATCTTTTCTATGCCGTTCCTTAAACTATGAAATCATTGTACACGAAATTATTATTGCTTTATTTGGGATTTTTAGAACACCGAGGACGAGATATAGTCCCTGTATGAAATATATTTCACTCATTTTGATTATGGTAATGAGTAATGGTGATTGTAATACTGTAAGTCATGTTTAATAATCATATTGATATCAACAATACGCGACCGATGGGGATGATTACTATACCTCTAATAATGAAAATGGTAATAGAAATGGTAATGGCAATAGCAATGCTAATAAACATGATAATTGATGATATAGATAAATATAATCATAATTTCGTTGAAATAGCTATACACTCGCTTGGTTTCAAATGGCAAGCGTGTCTGATTTTCCCACGCTCACTTCGTGGGAAGAGCAGCCGCGTACTCTGTCAAGTAAATGAAATAATTTTTTATATCAAGATGGCCGTCCCTTCGATTACTATTCCAAGATTTTTACTGAGGGAGAGAAGTTTGGCAATGCTGATTACGGGTATATAATCTGTAAACGACCTTCTTTCATTTACAGTTCCAAGAAATCTTAATGAAACAAAGCATCATTACCCAAGTTCAGCAGTGTCAAACTCGAGTCTTTCCTGTGTCATGTTAGTTCAATTCAATCTACGTGTAACAGAAACAACGGAGGTGATTTATGATTTAGTTTAATTTCATTAGTCACAATGAATATTTTTTGGATCAGGGTGTCTATTTATTATTACTTCTAAATTACCCCTTGTGTGCAAGGAAAGGCCGGGGTTACCATCAACTGGCGGAGCGGGATTAGAACGCAGGTCAAGATTGCTGGACGAGAAAAATACCACTGCACTACACAGAGTAGTAGTACATGAAGGGAGATTTTTGTTACTTTAAAAGACATGATTTGGTCTATGTTTTAAGATTCGATTAATAATACAATTTGAGTCGCATCCAATCCACATTAATTGAAAATCGCTTCTAGAATGAGAAGCTTATTTTCTCATATTATTTACACTTAGATGAAGGTATACTTAGACAAACAAGTTCGTTATAGTTTTCTATTCATCCTTCATTGCCTGCATCTTATATGAGTAAATGAATATGCACTTACATAGAAGTACCGATCTCCATTGACATTTGTCATAAAATAGAAAGACAAAAACAAACAGATTGTCCATGTAGTAGGATACTCAGCATATAATGCAGCTAACCTTCAGCCCATTCAAACATATGAAATTTATTATACCTTCTAATCCTTGCCATTGCCTTCTTTCTGGTTTGACTTCCTAATATTTAGATAAATATTACGCGGCATTTGTTTACCAAAGTATCTATTCAAGTGGTTTTGCCATTCAGATTATAAAAATGCCGTAAAACCTGTTTACACGATTATGGAACAAAATGCTCATCCTTGTATTTGTCAGAGATATTTCTCAAATACAAATTCTCAAGAAATATTTTGGGTCATGCAGTTGATCAGATAACCAATTATTCACCATTTTTTTTCAATAGTATTTCTATTCAAATTATCAGTAAACATTTCCTAAATCTTGAATGACTTGATTTTGTGTTTATTTCTCGTTTTCCTGCAATCCTCGAGGGTCACTTTCCCTCCACCATCTGCGGCTCCCAAAACATCCCTTTGAAACCTCTACTTAAGGGCACCTCAAGTTAAACAATAGATGGTCCTATAAGCGATGCATATAACAGTAAATCTCAAAATTCTATCCCGGATTTAGAACATTTTATTTATCGCAACGAAAGGTCGAAAATAGAAAGGAAGGATAGCCACGCCCCTTCCGAAATGGTCATGTTCCCCGGGT